CGTGTACCGAGCAGACCGCGCAGCTCGGGGCACCGGCTGGGATCGGCAGGGGTGCGCCGGTGCAGCGACAGTGGCGAGTCCGCACGCTGGTGGGCGAGGTGGGCCCTCGGGCCACTGTCGGCGTTGCTTGGGCGGTTTGGGGCCGATGCATCCTCCTCGGGAGCCTACCCCCGACGAACCTTGCCCTCTGGACTTCGGGTCAGAACTCGGGCCTTCCGCGGCCGTTCGGGATGATCCGGGCACCCCTGGAGCGCCCCCGCAGGCGCAAGCCTTCCCCTCTCCCCCTCACCCCCCCGCTGCGCGTGGCCGATCGAACCCGAAGCTCACCCACCTCCCTCAAAACGTTACCCCTGGGGCATGCATCGAACCGGCTGCGCAGCCGGCAGGCCACCGCGCCCTCCGCGCGAGGCACGAGGCGCCAGCGCGGCTGTGCATCTTCTCCAGGGCGCCTGTACCCCCGCGGAGCCCCCAACGACCTCACCCCTCGCCCCTCCCGCCCCTTCCTCCTCCTTCTCCCCCTCCCCTTCCTCTCCCCCTCCCCTGCCCCCCTTCCTCCTCCTTCTCCCCTCCCCTCCTCCTCGTGTCCCCTCACCTCCCTCCCCCCACTCCTCTCACCTTTGGGGGGCTCGCAGAACCGGGTGGTGGCACACCGTTTAGTGACCGCGGCGTCCCCAACGACATCACCGCCTGGCCCGCCACCGCACGGGGCCAGGGACCTCGCAGGCAGGTCCCCGACGCCCGAGACGTACTCGCCGAAATTCCCGAGTCCCAAAGCCCGGCAATGACCCCGAGTCCCAACGACCACGCGGTGTGGTCGCCACATCCTGTTGGGGGCCCCCGAACGGACCATTTTCTTCTCGACGCCAGCAATTTTACTTGCGTGGATGGGGGCGGGGCGCGGCGAGGCCCCCGAGAAGATCCAAACTTCACGCAGGCGTTTCCGGCCCAGCGCTGGCTGAAGGCGGCGGAAAGGAGGAGAAGAAGGAGGCGGAGAAAGGAGGAGGAGAAGGAGGAGGAGGACGAGGGGGCGGAGGAGGAGGAGGACGAGGAGGAGGAGGAGGAGGCGGAGGAGGCGGAGGAGGAGATGGAGGAGGAGGAGGAGGAGGAGGAGAGGGAGAAGAAGGAGAAGGGGGAGAAGGAGGGGGAGGGAAGAAGGAGGCGGAGGAGGAGCTGAGAAGGAGGAGGAAGAAAGGGGCGGAGGAGGGAAGGAGGAGGAGGGAGGAGGAGGAGGAGGAAGAGGAGGAGGGGGATAAGAAGGGGGAGGAGAAGAAGGAGGAGGAGGAGGGTTGAGAAGAAGGAGGATAGGGAGAAAGAGGAGGAGGAGGAATAGGAGGAGTAGAAAGGAGGAGGAGCAGGAGGAGGAGGAGGAGCTGAGAAGCAGGAAGAAGAAAGGGGCGGAGGAGGAGGAGAAGGGAGGAAGGAGGAGGAGGAGGAGGAGGAGGAGGAGGAAAGGAGGGAATTGCCATGCAAGCGAACTCGCTTGAGTTTGCAGACGCACAACCTCACACCTTCGCGACCATTCTCTCGCCGCCCGCCCGCCGAAGAGCGGGCGGCCCTCGGGCCCCTGGGCGGCCAGGCGGGCGCCAAAGCCGCAAGAGGGAGCCCCGCCGGCACGGGCCAGGCGGGAGGCAGATCTGCGCGCGGGCCACATGCTCTCAACACGCGGGCGCCTCAGCTGCCCCGGTACGCAACACGCAACACGTGCCGTGTTGATACGAAGCCCAACTCGTAGACTGAAAACGTAGGCCTGACGCGCGTTCGGAAAAACGTGGGCCAATACGCTGGGCCAACACGCAACGTATTGGCACGGACGCTGTAAGCACGGCACATCGTGCGTTTCAAAACGGGCGTATCGAGGCAGCTAAGGCCCGCGCGGGTTTGGGAGGAGCGAGAGCGTCCAGAGGTGCACAGTCCAGACGGAGGAAGCCCAGACGGAAACCGAGCACCCCGTACGGACTTCCTCCACATGTCGCCGCGCCGTTCGACCTCGACGCGCCCGAATGAGCGACGCCGACACCACGGCAAACCGACGGCAAACCAACGGCATGAACTGCGCTCCGCGCCCAATCAGACGACGCCGGCAACGCGGCAAACCCACGGCGAACCTTGCGTCCGAGGCGGAATTTGCCCTGTTGGACGAGGCGCCCTCCCCAAGGCGTAGGGCCGTGCGTCGGAAACAAACGGCGTGGCGACATATGGACTCGGCCTCCTACCAGGAGGGGCTGAGTCCAGACTGAGTAAGCCCAGATGGAGGCAGAGCGCTCGGTATGGAATGGGCTTAGCCTTCGCCGAGAGCGGGGAGCACGAGGGTCTGGACCCCATGTTTGTATTCCGTAGCACCCCGCAGGTGCGGACAAGAGCAGGAGTGCGGGCGTGGGGTGGGTCGCGCGTGGGTCGCGGGCGGGTCGCGGGGTTTGTCGCGGGGTGGGACGCGGGGGGGGTCGCGGGGTGGGACGCCGGGGGGGGGGTCGCGGGCGAGGACGACGACAACACCAACAATCATTATAACACTGCTCGGTGTTATCTTCTCACGTGCTGTTCAAAACGTATATCCCAAACCCTCGATAGCCACTGTCGTTGCCCTTCGATCGTACCCCCTAGAGGGTCTATCTTCCTTACCTGCCACGTGTAGTTGTCGCAGCCCCTAAAACAGGGGAAGGGACGGATGATGGAAGGAAGGGGCACGGAAGAGGACGGAGGATGGAGCACGAGAGAGATTAGGAGGCGGGTTAGGAGCAGGACAACAAGCGGCAGATCCAGACTGGCGGTCGGGCGGGCGGACCCCAACGGGCGCGAAGGGCGGGCGGGCCCAGACGGCTGGGTCGAGCGGGCGGGTCGCTGAAGCGTCGGTTTCGCATGAATCGCGAAGAATTCTTGAGCGATAGCGCGATTCCCAAATGAACGGTGATAAAATCTGCAATGAGAGAAAGATTCCTGAGTGTCGCGGGTGCGGCGTATGAACCGATTTGGAGGAGTGCCACGCGACAGCGCGATTTCTGCCCACATTGTCAAAATATCCCGCGCGAGACCGCGATTTTGGATACAGTGTACGCGGCGGGAGCCGTTGTTGTTTTAGTTTTTGGGCCAGGGAACCAGTACGAGGCCCAAGACTTTCCCTTAGAAAATATGGCACGAGCCCCGGTAGGGGCACTTCAGTCCAAACACAGATGGGCCTCCCAGGTGGAATCACTAACACTTACTCTTTAGAAGGAAGCATCAAATGAATATTCAACAGCCACTACAACCATTGAAATACTGCTCGCGCTTCGCAGCTCGCGTGGCATGCACCACATCTATCCCGAACCCTCGATACCCGCCCTCTTCGCCTTCGATCGTACCCCCTGGGGGGTGCAATTCTCTTTCTAGCCACGTGTGGTTGGCGCAGCCCCTAAAACTGGACAGTAAAGGGAGAAGGGCAGGTACAGCGTGATGGAGAAGGATGGAGCGCGAGAGAGCTTCGCAGGAGGGGAGTAAGGAGCAGGAAAACAAGCGGACGCGAGGAAATTCTACTCGAGAGCGCGATTCCTGGATAAAATGCGAAGTGTCCCGCGCATGACCGCGATGTTGAATCATTGTTGAGGAAAAATCAAGCGGCAACCGATGTTGTTGCAATTCGGGGGCCGGGGGGGCAATCTGAGCCTCTGGAAATTTCCCTGGTAGAGACAAAGGCGCGAGCTCCGGGAGGAACACTTCAGTTGAAAGACCACAAGGGGCACCAGAGGGGGGAGACCAACAGAAGTGATTCTTCAGTAATGAGTACTCAACAACCATTTTAAGACTGTGCGCTCTCATGGGCTCGCGTGTCAATCAACATGTAACTACCGCGCCCGCGATACCCGCCCTAGTTACTGATCGTACCCACTTTGAGGAATGTCTCCCTTCCCTGCCACGTGTAATTAGCGCAGCCCCTAAAACAGGAAGAACAATCATAACAGAACAGGGGGAAAACAAGGACGACGGGGGTGGGGGAAGGAAGCAGGGAGGGGAGCAAGAGGGAAGGAGAGATGGAAAAGTGGGATTAGCAAGAGAACTGAACACGAGGGGACGGCACAGCAATTTCAAGCGAGAGCGCGCCACCTCGGCAAATGATCAGGAAATCCCGAGCGAGAGCGCGATTTCCAGAGCACAGAGAAAGCGGTTCGAGAACCAGTGGTGGAAAGTTCCAGGAGAGAAAAAAGAGTTAGATAAGCACAGAGAGAGAGAGAGAGAGAGAAAAAAAAAAAGAGAGAGAGCGCGCGCTACCTGAATCAATCCCATGGAAGTCTCGGACGGGCAATGCGATCCCACAGTTGAACGTCAGAGAATATCAGGCGGGAACCGTCGCTGTGGTACTTTGGGGGTCAACGGGCCAATCCGAAGGCCTAGACTTCCCTTTGTTAAAAAAACATGTTGAGTCCCGGAAAGGGCAATTTCAATTGGAAACGCTCTGGGCTCCAGGGAGGATCAAAGTACATGAGCAACGACAATAATTGTAAGAATGGTCGTTCTTACCTGCTCGCGTGCCATTCAACACGTCTATCCCGAACCCTGGATTCGCGTCCTCTGCGTCTCCGATCGTACACCCCTGGAGGCACACGTTCCTTACCTGCACCGTGTAGCTGGCGCAACCCTTATACCGGGGGAAGGGGGGAGTGAGGGGACAGCGGGGAGAGAGAAGAATGGGGCACAGCAAGGATTAGCAAGAGTTGAGCAGGGACCGGCCGTCCCGGCATTCCTATAGCCCTACAACGAAAATGCTCTTTAGAAGCCAAAAACGTTCTACGAGCAACAGCAATGTTCTTAGAACATAAGCCCGATGTGCTAAAACATTTTTTATTCGGCAAGAAATTATAGTCCCAAGATTACACACCAACGATAATGAATTCATGAATTCACGCGCGCACACGGCCAGTGACCTTACCACTAGCGGTGCGAGCGGGAGCCACGGCTAAATGATGGCTGTGCCCAGCTCGTTGCGCTGACCACCGCAATTCCCGGTCAACCTCATCGAGCTTCGCAACCTCGGCGTCCGGGAGTCGAGGACAATGCGAAAGAATCCAATCGCGACACCTCGGGCGCCTCGAATCGGAGACATGAGAGATCAGTCGCAATCGCCGGACAAACTCGGTGCCGCATGCGGGGCACTTTGACCCAGACAGGTAGCAACGAATCTGGAGGCGGGCTCCGTGATTGGCTCGTTGATGGCTCTGCAAGCCGTGGGCGGTAGTGAATGCAGCGCCACAGTGGCAAACATGGGACTCGCGTCCTGGAGTGGGATCTGGCGCCGCCTTGGCGTCGCAGACCGAATCGCAAAAGAAAATGCGATCCACCAAAGCCTTCCAGGAACTTTCGTCCGCCATGAGATGCGCCCAAGCCTTAGGATCCTCAGACAAAGCAGGGAAACCGTCCGGGAGGTGGGCCCGAAGGAAATCCGCATCCTTTTCTAAGGCTTGGATCCACCGCAGTTTTTGCCCTCGCGGTCTCGAGCTAAGCAGCGCGAGCAAGGCCGCAGGCTTGGTGCGGTGCAGCAGGGCACAATACTTCAAACGAAGGAGGGTGACCAGACATTCAATGGCAGGTTGGTGCAATGCCTCGCGCACTTCACGGTCGGAGTGCTCGACGTGCTCAAAACGAGGTTCGTCAAATATCCGACGAAGCACAATCATGTATACTGTGTTCAACCGCTTCAAATGTCTAGCGGACGGAACTATTACATGCACGCCGAACAAGAGCTTAGACAAGAGCAGACAGTGCATGCATGAAGTACAACTTGTGCAAAAGCACTACATGATGGGATCCAAACACTTTGCACGACAAGGGCGCGTACGCAGCAAGAGTTTTAGATGCCTTGGCATTTGCATCAGCCATGGTGTACGATTGCAGAGAAGTGGCAGTGCCAAGATGCTTATAAGAGCTCACAACGCGAATGCGCACATCCCTTCCCGGAACCTGCACACTCAACTGGCCACTCGCATCGCGACGAGCCTCTCGACAGGCAGTGGCCTTGGGGCCGCGATACTCCAAAAGGGCTTCAGTTTTTCCGGGGGAGGCGTTGAGCTGCAAATGCAAATTCTCAAAAAAACCTCCAGCAATATATCGATGCATTGATCGAGTTGTTGAGGAGTGGACGCTACTATCGCAAGGGCTTCGTCATCGATGAAAGCCGCATCCAGCACAGACTCCATATTCTCACCTCCGGGGGAGGGGGCCCAAAACGGGTCCGCAGGAGAGGGCAACCGAAGCGTAACCCCTTTCTCTCGGAGCTGTGCAGAGATGATGTCTAAGGCTATGCCGTAGACCCCGTTGAAAGTGAGCGCGCCTAGTTTGCACCCTTGTCGCCCTCCAGTGCGACTGGTGACACATGTGGGGAGATCAGAGACAGCGACCCAAGCACCTTCGTGCAAGGTTCGCATCATTCGGGCGACAGCTTCGTCAGTCCCCCATTGCTGTAGGAGGTGGCCGTGTTGAGACAAACACTGGGGCATCCAATCGGCAGCCGGCTCGGAAACTCCAAGGGAAAGAAGATGAGATCGATGCTCGGACGTTGGCATCGAACCCCATCCATACATGAGTTGCAGCACGACTCTGTCAAAGGCTTTTGTGAGGTCGACGTACAACACAAAAACTGACAGCCTAGATAAACTAGCGAACTAGCGTAATCAACAATCGAATGCAACACGTGAGACGCCATATCGGTTCCGCGGCCCGGGATGGCACCATACTGTGAGGACGGCTGGTGCACGACGCAAGCTGGTGTCACAGCCTGCTGCAGCATTCCGGCGAGACCTTTACTCGCATGGTCCGCAAGAAGAATGTTACGATAGTCGTCTGTGTTAAGGGGGCCCCCCTTTCGCTTGAAAACTTCTTGGGAACGCCCCCCCCGCCACTGAGTCGCCCAGGCACCTGTGGCCTTCGTGCGCTCGTTGACGGAAGAAAACTTGCAGGCCAAAGCCGAACCCCCTGCTTGGAGAAGTTCCGCAGGGATTCCACCATAGCCCACTCCACTGTTGCGGCCGAGGGCCTGGTAAGCACAGCGAGTGGCCTCGGGGCCCACATCCAGAGAGGAGGAGGGGGGAGGAGAGGAGGGAGGGGAAGAGGTAGGCATGGGCTGGCGAAGAGAGGCCTGGTCCACAATCTCGCCTCGAAAAAATTGCTGGACACGATCTTGCCACACATGCTTGACGTCTTCCGTAGTGGATGTGAGGACACCATGAGAATCGCGCAAGCACTGACTCGGGCGCGTGGCGCGCGCTCCCAAAGCTCGCAATACAGCGAAAGCCTGGCGAGCGTCGTGCGCCTCGACCGCGCGGGAGGCGCTCGCAGCAAGGGAATCGAGATACGCGCGCCGACCCTCATCCAAAATGGGGCGTGCGCATTTCTGCAAACGAAATATATGAGCTGTGATGCACGCCTCTTGGTGAAAGCCCCTCCGGACCGCGGCCCCCAGCCCAGAAGACACACGGAACGCCCCCCGGAACCTGCGGTTGCAACACATCTCATGCCAAGAATGCAGAAATAAAAAAGAAAACAATGTTGCCTACGCTTTGTGACACAAAATCTGGCACGCCTCAAGGGGGCGATATGCTGGATGATCTGCCAAACTCGCGGGGACAGCCACGCCTTCCGAGGCTGTTTCTCGGGGCGTCCGAAGCTAGACGGAGCAGCCCACCGAGTCCACATGTTCAAAAGCTCAACGTGGTCATCGATGTGCACGGAAGGAGGGACGGGAGGAAAGAGCCACATAAGTCGCTGAAAACGCTCACAGCACGAAACCGATTGAAGGTTGTGTTTATTGAACTTCAACGCAGGACTTACGGAGTGCACAGCGTCTACAGGAACAGCGCTCGCACTCAACACGACCGCGTGGTGATCTTCCTTGGCCGAGAGAGTCAAGTCAATCGTCCTGTCAACCTCACAATAGACGATGCGTGCAAAAACGGCTTCGGGCACAAGCGCATAATCGATGCGAGAAGTGGTGGCGCGCGTAGACACCCACGCGTGGCCGCCCTCTCCCCACGCATTGCTAAGCCGCAAATGAAAATCTTCAGCAAATGTGCGCAAGAAACTACCATAGGAGTTTTCACGCTCTGGCTGGCTAGGGCCGACCGAACGAGAGGGCACCGAGCCGACGCGACCGTTCGCATCGATCAGAGTAAGCCACTGGACCGGCTGAGACTTTAAAATCTGCGTTTGCACTCGGGTGAGCTCCGCCCATTTTTCGGCGCGAATGGCGTCCTTGGCTTGCGAACGCGGGGCATGGGCTACAAGGGACCCAAGCTCAAGCTCAGCAATACGGACTACGGCGTAGAGGATGCGAGGGGATACGGCGTGCCAGAAACATACGCGGGCACGCTGATGCACCCAGCACTGGACGCCGAGAGAACCGTCCGCCTCCGCAGCAGCAGCAGCCAACATTATGTAATGCTGGCCTTCAGCCTGCTCGGAGTGTGGGGACCGGCCTTCCTGGGCACCAACGACGTCGATGCCACGATCGTGAAATTGCTGCTCGAGCAGCGTCACTTTGCTGCGCATGCAGACCCCGCTGACTTGGGCATACGACCGAGACAGCTGGTGAGGAAACAAAGGAAACACATTAGCCGTGGCGCATACAAAACGCACAGGCTGCGCATCAGGCGTGTCATCTACGTGCTGCTCGCCTGCGCCTCCGCGGTGTTCCGGGAAAAACGCGTCGAGCCAGCGGCGCCATTCGCGCGCCTCTTGGCCACGAAGGTGGTGATCACACGCTTCGCGGGCAGCTTGCGGTTCAGACGGACCCTCTCTCCCGGAGGGCTCTGCTTGCCCGTCGTCCGCATGGGGACGTCGATGCGCTGGGCCTGCTCCAGAGTGGACTGGAAACGCGCCAGGATGGCGTCGGACTGCGCCTTGGCCTCCTCCACTGCGGTTGGAGAAATCGAGCCGAGCTTCGCAAGCTGCTCGACCGCCGCATGGAGCTGCGCACCGAGCTCCTCCATGGAGGCACGGGCTGGGTCCCGATGTCCGGTGGCCACCTGCTTTTCCAACTCGGCCACGTTCTCCGTCAAGGTGGCAACTTCGCCGGCGGCTGCCTCGACAGCCTTCTGCGCAAGGGCCAGACTCTCGGCAGCCGCCGCCTGGCGCTTGTGCGCACGCTCGAATGCTGCCCGGGTGTCGTCCAAACGCTTGCCCAGGGGACGCATGTCCCCGAGCTGCTTCCTCTTGGCGTCCAGGCGTGCCTGGATGGCCTGCCGGGCCTCGGCCAGCGTAGGATCGTCCGGCATAGTCGCCAAGGTGGATTCCAACTGCTTGACCGCGTTGATAATATCCTTCTTGGCCGAAGGCTCGTTGGAAATGCCCTCGCCAATCATGTCCGTCGCCGCTGCTGCTGGAGCCCCCGGTGTCGTACTTGCCGGAGGCGTCGATGAAGGAGGAGGCGTCGGCGGCGACGGCTCCACAGGCGCAAGACCGGTTCCCTGAGAGAGCTTGGCAGCAATCGCCTGCAGCTGAGCCTGCACAGGATTGCCCGGCATCTTCGAAGGGGTCGTCCCAGTAGTTCCGGCACCTGTCGACGTCGAATTTGTGACCGTCTCGGCCCAAGATCGCTTCACTCCACACACTCCGCAGGCATGCTTGCTGTGGTTGTTCGAACCACAGTGGGAGCACACCCACAGCCTCTGCTGAGGCCCATTGTTCTTGGAGTGGCGATATCCCACATAATGCCACTGCCCACTTGGATCGAGCTTCCACTCGGTGGTAGAAGGTGACCCCGATGCTGACTGCGCACCACGCTGTCCCCACGAGTTCCATGGCGCCATCCCGACCCTTCGGTAAAGGTCCAAGCGAACTCGAAAGCGCACTGCGCAAGCAAGCGCAAAGCTGAAAGCGAAGAAGCCACACGATGGTGCAGCTGGGCTGGGGTGTAGACTTACAATCAACTCAAGGGCCACTCCTTGGGCCACTCCTTGGGCCACTCCTTGAGCTAAAACAAGACAGACTCCGCCAGAAATGTTCTAAGAACATTTCGTGGGAACCACAAAATGTTCTTAGAACATTGTTTGGTAGGGCTGTAGGCGAGCCAGGACGCTTCGCCAATGCTTGAAGGAGAGGGGAGCTCAAACCGGAAGAGAAGCGGCAGAACCAGACTGGCGGGCCAGGCGGGCGGACCATGATGGGCGGCTCGGGCGGGGCGGGCGGCGGGCCCAGACAGCGGGTCCGAGCGGGCGGGTCGCTGAAGAGTCGTTCTTGCAGTAATCGCGGGGAAGTCCCTGGCGACAGCGCGATTCCAGAATAATCTGGTAGAGCTCCAAAGCAAGGGCGTGGTTCCTGAGTGTTGGGGGCGCGCGTCTCGATCAATCGCGAGACGTGCCACGCGAGGGCGCGATTCTTCCATGACGTGCAAGAAGGTGCTGCGCGAGACCGCGATATTGAAAAACATGCAAGGAGGTATCAGGCGAGAGCCGTCTTTATAGTTCGGGGGCCAAGGGGCCAGTCTGAAGCCGAGGACTCCCTCCTTGAATTAAAAACTACGCAGTGCGAGCCACGGGAGAGGCACTTCAATGGAAGAAATCATGGACACCAGAGGGGGATTAGCAACATCTATTTTTACGATATGGGAGCGCAACAACAACAGCAACAACTATTCTACCCTCACGCGCCAAGATTCAACATGCCATATGCCACCATCATGATGCCACCCCCTTGTAAGGGGGAGCTATCCGAAAAGGAAAACCGACATTCCCACACCCAAATCCCCCATTCAAGAAGGCCGGGCTAATACCTCTGCCGAGGCGCGGTCCTACCTTCAGCTCGCACGACACATAAAACAACGATGCGACTTTCGAGAGCCGTGAGGATTCGAAACACAAAGGAGCCGAGCCCCATGAGAGGGGCAATTCGCTGGAAAAAAACTATAGATTCGAGACCCATGATCAGAAAAGCTATATATATATATATATATATACTAGAACCACGCGCGCGCTTCGCGCGCGCTTAGGTTCTGTCGAGTCACAGACCCAGGAATCGTTGCGAGAAGAAATTGGTGACGCGAAGCGTCTTGGGGGCGTCCTTGGACGTCTGGGGTCTCCTGGGGCCTCTTGAGGGGCCTCCTTGGGGCCTCCTGGCGGCCTCTTGGGGCGGAAGGCTCGAGCTTGCGGTTCGTGGTCCCCCTCTGGGCCCCCTCTTGGGCCCGTCTTGGGGCCCTCTTGGGCCATCTTGGGCGCCTCTTGGGCCGTCTTGGGGCCCTCTTGGGCTGTCCTGGGGCCCTCTTGGAAGCTTCTTGGGCCGTCTTGGGGCGGTCTTGGGCGCCTCTTGGGCCGTCCTGTAACGTCGGAAAACCCAAAAGACAACTTTGTTGAAAATGTACGTTTTACGAAGGGAATGGGCCAATTTTTGCGTCTAGGGGCCCTCTTGGGACGCATGTTGGAGGCTTCTTGGGGCCTCTTGGGGGCGTCCTTGGACGTCTGGGGTCTCCTGGGGCCTCTTGAGGGGCCTCCTGGGGGCCTCCTGGCGGCCTCTTGGGGCGGAAGGCTCGAGCTTGCGGTTCGTGGTCCCCCTCTGGGCCCCCTCTTGGGCCCGTCTTGGGGCCCTCTTGGGCCATCTTGGGCGCCTCTTGGGCCGTCTTGGGGCCCTCTTGGGCTGTCCTGGGGCCCTCTTGGAAGCTTCTTGGGCCGTCTTGGGGCGGTCTTGGGCGCCTCTTGGGCCGTCCTGTAACGTCGGAAAGCCCAAAAGGCGACTTTGTTAAAAATGTACGTTTTACGAAGGGAATGGGCCAATTCTTGCGTCTAGGGGCCCTCTTGGGACGCATGTTGGAGGCTTCTTGGAGCCTCTTGGGGGCGTCCTTGGACGTCTGGGGTCTCCCGGGGCCTCTTGAGGGGCCTCCTGGGGGCCTCCTGGCGGCCTCTTGGGGCGGAAGGCTCGAGCTTGCGGTTCGTGGTCCCCCTCTGGGCCCCCTCTTGGGCCCGTCTTGGGGCCCTCTTGGGCCATCTTGGGCGCCTCTTGGGCCGTCTTGGGGCCCTCTTGGGCTGTCCTGGGGCCCTCTGGGAAGCTTCTTGGGCCGTCTTGGGGCGGTCTTGGGCGCCTCTTGGGCCGTCCTGTAACGTCGGAAAGCCCAAAAGACAACTTTGTTGAAAATGTACGTTTTACGAAGGGAATGGGCCAATTTTTGCGTCTAGGGGCCCTCTTGGGACGCATGTTGGAGGCTTCTTGGGGCCTCTTGGGGGCGTCCTTGGACGTCTGGAGGCCATCTTCAGCATCTCGGAGCCCTCTTGGAGGCCTCTTGGAAGTTTCTTGGGCCGTCTTGGGCGCTTCTTGGGCCGTCTTGTCTGACTGGGGAGGCCTCCGGCAAGCCCCGACGAGCCTCCGGGCCCCCCGGGGTGCACATTTGCGGTCGGCCCCGGGCCCCCGGACCCGGTGCGCCGATATATGTATGTATATATATATATATATATATATATATATATATATATATATGAGCAGACGGATAACATGAATGATTCGAGCCCCAGTCGAGGAGCAATCAATAGGAACAGATGTAAAACGCGAGGGATCCGATCCCCAGGAAAGGGGCGGCAAAAAGCCTCTGGGGGCGAGGCCTACGAGGGAGCGAAGAGCACTCCCCGAGCAATACAGGGAAGTGCCTCCTGGGGCCTGTTGGAGGCAGAGGGGCCGAAGAGCGCTCCCCAAACACATACCTAGATACAGAACAGGGTCTCCTGGGGCCACTCGGGAGCGGAAGGCCCGAAAAGCGCTCCCTGAACGCAGATCCCAACACAGAAGATGCCTCCTGGGGCCTGATCGGTTTGGGAGGGTCGACAAACACTCCCCGAACACATGTATCCCTGGAGCGCCCTGGAGCCTCCGCAAGACTGGAGCAGCAAGCATGCTCTGAAGGACCCCCCTGTGATGCTGAATTGCTAAGAAGTCGCAAGCGAATCGGCCGTTCCTGCATCCCCGAAGAGCAGCAACCTGGTTATGAAGGACCCCCCCCCCTGCGGTGCTAAAATGCGAAGAAGTCTCAAACGAAACGGCTGTTCCGGCAACCGCAAGTGGCGACAAAACTGCACGACTGCTCTGAAGGATCCCCCCTGTGGTGCTAACTTGCGAGAGGTCTGAAGCGACAACGCCATCCCTGAGATTCGGGCCCTCTCTGGCCAGGGTCTCTTGGAGTACATTGTTAGGACACTTGGCACGGAAACGTTGTTGTTGCTGATGGTGATGATGATGATGATGATGATGACGGTGATGATGATGATGGTGACGGTGATGATGATGATGAGGATTATGATGGTGATGGTGATGGTGATTCTGATGATGATGATGATGCTGATGATGATGATGAAGAGGATTATGATGATGGTGATGATGATGCCGTTGTTATTGATGCTGTTGTTCGGACAGCGTTGACACCGGCCCCGGCTTGCCGTTGATATCTTCTTCTCTATCAGAGACCAAGCCGTTACCCTTAAGAGTAAGCCACGCTCCAGCAACCGCAGGCTTGCACCACGGGGCCGACGAAGGCGTTGGCGCCGGGGCGGCAACGGCGGGCTCTCCACGGGGCAGTGGGAGGGTGTTGGCACTCTGGGCGTGCTCCCTGAGGTTCCCCCAAGACCCCCGAGAGTCCACCAGAGTTCCCGCGAGTGCCGCAGGGATTCTCCATGGCTCTTCAGGATCCTTCAGGATTCCTCCGGATTCCAAGAAGGATTCCCCAGGACCTCTCAGGACTCAGGCCCCCATAAGATTCCTCAGGATTCCTCAGACTCCCCTGGACCCCCCAAGGTCCCCCCAGAAGTCGTCAGGATTCCCAACGAGGGTTCGTTTTCCCGTGGGCTTCCTCAGGATCCCAGAGGAATTTCAGGAGTCCTCAGGAGTCCTGAGGAGCCCAGAGGATTCCTAATGATTCGTCAGGCCCCCTGAGGTTCCCAAAGGATACCTAAGGATTCCTCATAACTCCTGAGCAACCCAGAGGGTTTTCACGGACTCCTTCGGACTTCTGAGGATCCCTGAGAATTCTGAAGAATTAAGATGAAGCCGGGATCGGGGCAAAATTTGACCGGGATAAAAATCATGCTCGGTTTGTCAAATCACCGGGGGCGCCGCCGAACGGGCCTGCCACGCCTTGGGCGCGATCGGCTTCGCGAGGGAAGAAAAGCGCCCCGGCGCGGATGAAACCACGGCGCGTATTTGGCCACGCGCACGACCGAGGGAATTCAGCGCCAAGCGCCTTTCACTCCAGAAGGCCCGACGTCAACAAAACAAACTTGAGGCCCAAAGGGGGCCCCAAGGAGGCGGACCGCCAAAACAATCATGCAACCAACGCAACGAAAAAACACGAAAATGTCAAACATCGCTTTACTCAGTGACCTCTTCGGCCAAGCAACACCGCGATAATGCCCAAGAAGGCATTGGAAAAAAATCACGCGCGCGGCCAGGCGACTCCCCCGCGCCGCCCCAAGGTTCCCGAAGCGCGCCGAAATAACCGTACAGAACACCCCGGAAACTCTATGGAAAATCCCCGCGCCATGCAAGATCCGCCACCGAACAATCTCGCGGACACCTAGCGCGTGCGCGTGGGCGTCCACCATGGATGTCCAACTCCGGTTTCCGAGACAATCGCGCGCAACCGCCTGGGGGCCTCGGCAACCTTGCAATTGGCTCAGGGGCCCGCGGGCCCCAGGGAATCGAAGACCGAGTTCGCAACTCCGGAAGCATCGGGCGCGGCGCCAGCCAGTCGCTCGTCTCTGGCTGACAGGAAGACGCCTGGAGACCCGGTAAAACCTAAGGAACCGCTTTCCAAAGGTTCACAGAACAAGAAACCGGGGCGCGCCAAATTCTCGCGTCCGAACTTCTCTGAGAATCTCTGAAAATCTCTGAACTAGCCACCCCGCGTGAAACATTCCCATAAACCAAAAACCTCGGAGCTGGCCGAAACTCTCTGAGTTTTTCGGCCCGCGAAATTTGGCGCGCCCGGATTTCTGGTTCCGAGATCCGATCCTCTGAAATCGCGCTGCGGCGGCGCCCAGCAGGTCCTCGCGCGCCCAGGGTGGGGGCCGTGGACATCGCGGGCCGCGATGGTCCCGACCGCGAGGTCCTTCCTCCTGCCCCTCGACGAGTCCACTCTCATGGACACGCTCTCTGTGCGGAGCGTGGACCGCGCCATCCGCCGGTACTTCTGCGCGACAACAGCCAACTGGCCGCCGACGGACAAGGCGATTTTTCTCCGAGCTGCGCGTGCCACCGAAAACGTACAATAGCCCCGGGCTCGGGGAGAAACACTTTCGAAGCATTTTCAGGCCGCCAGCGTCGTGGCTGCCGACCCGCCGCGCGCCGACCGAGAGACTAGCTGGGTCCACGACGTCCACGGCGGCGGGCGGGCGCCCAGGAGAGCTGTCGCCGCGGTGCGCGCGGCGGGGCGCCCGCCCAACTGCAACCATGCGGCCTCCATGGCGCCACAAGCGTAATATGTGTGACGCATTCTCGGGCCCCCCAGCAGCGCAGGGGCCAGCGCCCAAGTCCCGGAAACGCAAGCCTACTGTGCCCCCCGTGCAAGCCGCGCACCCGCTCACAATGCTCGTGCACACCAGATTTTCTGCCCGCCCTCAACAGTTGAATTGAGCGCCCATGTGTTACTTGGGCTCCTCAAGCCCTCGAACACTCTTTGGGAACTTCTGCGAATGCGCGCGCTGCGCTCCACAAATCGGCGTTCTATTTTTCTCTGGAACTCTCCCAGAATCTCTGGCTCCGATTTGTCCCGATCTTCCGCTCAACTGAAGAATCCCTTAGGACCCCTGAGGAGCCTCGACGATTCCTAAGGATTCCGCAGCACTCAAGGATTTCTTAGACCATTTGAAGATTCCTAGGGACGCATTCCGTAGGACTCCTGAGGAGCCCAGCTGATTCCTAAGGATTCATTGGGACTCCTGAAGATCCCGAAACATTCCTCAAAAATCCTGAACCGCGCAGAAGATTCCGAAGAATTACCTTAGGACTCCTGAGGATCTCAGATGATTCTTCCGGACTTTTGAGGAGCCCCGAGAATTCCGAATGATTCCTCAGGGCTCCTGAGTGTCTCTGAGGATTCCGGAAGACTCCTCAAAACGCCTGAGGATTCACGGGCGCGAGCACGCGACCGGAGAAGGCAGTAGCAAACGGGGAGCGTTTCCTGCGCAGGCCACAAGTCGGATGAAGTGAGACACGGGGCCGGAGTGTGCGTTCGTCCACTGGGGTTCGTCGCCGCCGCAGGGGGCCCGCCGCAGGGCCGGATGAGTCGTCGTCCCACAATGAACGCCATCTCAGAAACCACGGGGACGGATTGTCTGCTGCTCCACCAGGGTGTAACCGTTGAACGTGCGTCCCCGTACCTGGGCCAGAGACTCAGTTCTTCTGTTGTTGTTGTTGTGGTTGCTGCTGATGTTGTTGTTGTTGTTGTGGCTGTGGTTGTGGTAGTTGGTGTTGCTGCTGCTGTTTGTGCTGTTGTCGTTGTTGTTGACGATGCTGATGTTGGTGATGTGGTGGTTATGGTTGTTGAGGTGGTTGTTGTTGGTGTTGCCGTTGCTGTTGTTGTTGCTGCTGCTGTTGTTGCTGTTGGCGGTATTGTTGCTCTTGCAGTTGTTAGTAATGTTGTTATTGTCGTTGTTGGTGTTGTGGTTGTGGTTGACATTGTGAGTGTTGCCGTTGGTGTTGCTGCTGCTGTTGCTGTTGCTAGTGTTATTGTTACTGATGCTGTTGGTGTTGTTACTGCTGTTGTCGTTGTGGATGTTGTTGTTGGGTTGCTGCTGCGGGCGCAACCCCGGAACACTTGAAAGCTTGAGCCCCAACGTCAAAGGAAATGCAGCCGTTGCCGAGGCCAGAGCGACAAAGCGCGTAATGGAGATCCAACACAAATATTTGTTGTGTTACTCGTGCTAAAGGCAAGAACGCAACAACGCAACAACCATCCGCACCGAGAAACCCCACTACAACCACGCGCCCAGGGATAAGGAATGACCGTTCGGCTCCCTCACCCCGATCATTCACGATAACGCCCGTGACCGGCACCGGCCCCCCCCCGTGGTCACGTCACGATCCGCGCTGGCACCGCCTCGGCATCAGCAACCAGCAGCCCTGCTTGGGCACTCTCGGGCGGCGCTGGCGCAAATCGTGACGTGACCAGCCCTCTCCCCCCCCGCCGCCCTCCGCCTTCTCTCTGGGGCGGCCTCGAGGCCTCCCGAGCGTGCGCAGGGAGCGCGGCGGCCGAGCCGACTGCGCCCTCTGCACTCGGGTCCTCGAGGCCCCCCCCGGTCACGCCCGCCCTCGCCAGGGGATCACAGAAACTGTCTCGAGCGGTGGACAACGAGCGTCTGGGGCCCCCGCGGGGCCCCAGGCGCGGCCAAGCTCGGCGCGCTCCCCCGGAACACCGAAACCCCAGCACTGGCGTCCTGGCCTCCGATCGGCCGGGAGTTCGGCCAGCGCCCTGTCGGTGGTCCCAAGATGGGGTCCTGAGGGATGGGGCCCAAAGGATAGGAAGGGATCCAAGGGTGGGTTGACGTCAATTGAGGCACCTCGCCCTCAGGGCCCCATCCCTCAAAACCCCATCTGTGAACCACCCACCATGATGGTATGCAGCGCCCCTCCCCGTGCCGAACCGACGATGGATACCGCTCGGGGCGACTGGGGAAACCAAACGGTGCCGACACCGCGACTCCCTGGACCTCTCCCAGGGTGCGCTCTGACCAGGATTCCGAGGCGAGTGCAGCCGTGGCGACGAGGGCCTCCCAGGAGGCCCAACAAGGGGAACACGATGGAAGGGTAGCAGTATCAGCACCTCTTTCGGGGATGGACAGACCCCCCTTTAGCAAAACGTGGTTTAGTGAAAACGACCTGAGGCCCCGTGGTTTAGTGAAAATGACGGCCACGGCGCCCTCTCGAGAACCGAAAACGGACAATTCACTAATCGACGTGTCACTGTTGGGGGTTCTGTCCACCCCCGACTCTTCCTCATCTGAGCGATGCTCTTGACGACGGCGCCGCCGACGGCGACGCCCGTTTTGAAAACGCCGCGGGCACACCACTCCGGCGCGCGCCTGCCCTGCAGGAACCGGCAGCGCGGCGGCACTCGGAGCCACCAACGAAAAGTCGGCGAGGGCAGGGAACAGGACCAGGAGGCGGAGAGGCAAGAGTACCACCGAGATCCACTAGCCGCCAGCCAGAAGAAGTAGGCGGAAACATGAGACTCGACTTGAAGTAGGACAGCGGAGAAGGTAGATGGGGTTCGGGCGCACAAGAAGAAGAAGAAAGAACGATTTGGGCGAAGGGCCCAACCATATGCAGTTGTGAGTATCGCCGTTGTGGGTATCGCCTTCGGCGGATCTCTTTATGCGGCAACGAAGCGTGTAAAGGGTGTGCCGAAATTGGGCGGGGACGCGTTCGGGTGCAACCGTTGGGGCCTTCGGTGGCACTCCCTATGGGGTCACGAAACGTTATACTGGGTAGAGTAAACGCATGCTACAACCGCCACTGGGCCCTCCGGTGGAACTCCCCATGGGGCCACGAAGCGCTGCACTGGGTGTGGCAAACGCATGCAAACACCGCCACTGGGCCCTTCGGTGGAGCTCCTTCTGGGGCCACGAAGCGCTGTACTGGGTGGGGCGGGATGCATGCAAGCACCGCCACTAGGCCTTCGGTGGAGCTCCCTATGGGGCCACGAAGCGCTGTACTGGGTAAGGTAAAGGCATGCGAACACCGCCAATGGGGCCACGACAAGCTGTACTGAGTGGTGCAAAATCATGAGAATAACAGCCACTGGGCCTTCGGTGGAGCCCCCTACGGGGCCACGAAGCGCTGTACTGGATGGGGGAAACGCATGCGAACACTGCCAGTGGAGCCTTGGCGGAGCTCTCTATCAAGTGGAGGGGGGGCCTTCAGTGGAGCTCCCTATGGGGCCACGAAACGTGTGAGGGGTGTGCCAAAGTGAAGGGGGGGCGGCATGCGAACCATGCCACTGGGGCCTTCGGTGGAGCCCCCTATGGGGCCACGAAACGTGTGAGGGGTGTGCCAAAAGGGGGGGGGGGGGGGCGACATGCGAACTACACCACTGGGGCCTTCAGTGGAGCTCCCTGCTGGGGCGCGACACGTGTGAGGGGTGTGCCAACGTGGAGGGAGGGCGGCAAGCGAACCATGCCACTGGTGAGGACTGTGCCAAAGTGGAGTGGGGGCGGCAGTCGAACCATGCCACCGGGGCCTTCGGTGGAGCTCCCTGTGGGGCCACGAAACGTGTGAGGGGTGTGCCAAAGTGAAGGGTGGCGGCGTGCGAACCATTCCTCTGGGGCCTTTGGTGGAGCTCCCTATGGGGCCGCGACACGTGCGAGGGTGTGCCAAAGTGAGGGGGGTGACGGGAGGAGGGGGGGGGAGGAGAAGGGGAGGAGGAGGAGGAGAGGAGGAGAGGAGGAGGAGGAGGAGGAGGAGGAGGAGGAGAGGAGAGGAGAAGAGGGGAGGAGGAGGAGGAGGAGGAGGAGGAGGAGGGGGAGGAGAAGGGGAGGAGGAGGAGGAGGAGGAGGAGGAGGAGAGGAGAGGAGGAGGGAGCGGGGGCTGTCTTTTCAAAACGAGGACCCAGCACCACAGGATGGCTGGGAGCAACAAACGCGTGTCGATGATTGTAGTAGGAAGGCGCGTGAAGCATATTCGGATCAAGATATCCAACAGTACCTACCTTCAACGACCGGCGTGTGTTCGACGCCGTACGCCTCTCGTTCCCCATCGGCTTTCGGAGGAATCCGGCTGCCGTCGGAGGTCTCCGGCGGTCTTCGGCAGTCTCGGGCCGTCTGATAAGCGAGGGCTGGATCGCTGCGCTCAGCCAGGGGGCCACGATCGGACACCCGGAGAGGGAACTTCACAGGGAACGATGGCATGCAGAGCATGGAGATACGCAAATGCATTGAGCGAGTTGGTCTAACAAACTTGTTGGAGAAAGCTCGAAAGCAACCCTATTGCAGACGATGGCCTAGCTAACCGGTATGTCTCTGACAAACGTGCAGCCCAGAAGGACTCCAAGCGGACGCTTGCCCCAGCGAAGATCCCAATCATCTAGAAAGAGGACCACCAACAGCTATCACACCAACCACGCGGGGGGGCCAGTACAATGACCAAGTCGCACTAAGCTGCCACTGCAGCAAAGTATGCTGTAGGCAGCTGGATATCAGCCGCATGCATGACCAGCCCGTTTCGCCCTAGATAGAAAAGTTGCTGCACATATCCTGCTTCCCCTCGCGACTCACTCTTCTCTCCGCCTCGCCTGCTCGCTGCTCTTTTGATTTCCATTCTGATCCCCATCGTGTAAATGTAATTTTGGTCTGAGCCCCATGGGGACTACAACGGTGATGCGTCCAACGAAGAACCGGATGAATCCCTCTCTCGCCTCCGTGAGCGATCCACCCGAAGGACGGGATATGCTCTCAGAGCCCGTGATGGATTCGCTCTCCTGGAATCCTCATGCGCGTACACACTCTTGTTTGTTTACATTCGTATACGCACTGGTTGTTGCAACCCTTCATGAAAAATTGTAATACTGCCAGGCCCCAGATGCTATCCACACCTTCTTCTTCTTCTGCGCCCCTAGCCGCTGATGGTAGCTCTACCGATAGGTCGACAACACCATACTGAGCCCGAGAGAGGGCCAAGCGGGAGGCGAGAGGCGAAGGCTGAGAAAGAGAACAGAGGGAGAAGAAAATTAATCATGGATAAAAACTGTGAGGCCAGGGCGGAGGCGGATGACCCGTGCGAAAGCAAGCGCAAGCGCGAGCAAGGAACGAAAACATGGGGGAGAGAAGGCACGGGAGGGGGCTAGCGGCTAGCGGGAGAAGGGGCAGGTGAACGGCAATAGGCAGTGAGAGGCAGCACAACCTAGCATGAAGTTGGATGTTTGTGGAGGAATAGGACAGTGGGGGGTGGGGGCCTCCAGGACCCCCTCCCACACACACACACACACACACACACACACACTCACACGCACACTCACTGATTGAAACATATAGAGACGCACACGACCGCTCTGAAGCATGTGGCGACCTGAAAGGGCCCGTCCAAAACGGATGAACCTTTGAACAGGCCACTTGTCACGAGCGGAGGCTGCATGGGGAACCTTTTCGAACACAAAATAGGACCTGGGTGGGACCGCACTGCGCTGAGCTAGACCGCCACAAGCTCACCGGTGGCGACAGCGCGACAGCTGCGCAGGTGGCACCGCGCGGGGAAGCGAGGCCTCTGGGTCCGAGTAAGGCCGTACTCCGCTGGCACCACTTGCGCCAGTGGCGAGGAGAAGGGAGGCAAGAGAAGAGGGGGGGAGGAGGTAGGAGGAGGATACTGATACTTGCGTCCGCGCAAGAATGGCACTGCTCCTTGGCTCATCTTCTTGCACTGCTTGCTGCTTGCAGCACGGGGAGGCCAGGGTCCACCTAAACCCCAAATCGGGACACCCCACCAAAGCGACAAAGCAAGCTTCTGGGCAAGAACTGGGATAGGGAGGAAAAAGACCAAGGATGGGAAGAAAGATGGAGAAGAAATTAGACAGCAACTCACGAAAATGTTGGGCCGTCCCCATGGCGGACAATGGCGCGACCAATCCTGCGCAAAGCAGACAGACTGCGTCTCCCTCTCATAGCGCTACTGGGCGCGATTGGGCGCTATTGGCCGCTATTTGAGCGCTATGCGGCGATATTGATGGCGCTGTGCGAAAATATGCATTCAACGCAAGAGCGGAAGCTTCCGCGATTTACTAACTTATAGAAGCTAAAAAACATAAACATAAACTGCGGGAGGTCCACGCGGATTTCTACAAGCTGGGCCCCCCTCCCTGGCGCGCCGAACGCGCCAAGGGCGGCGCCGGCAACGCCGTCAGGGGCCTCCCGCTCGGATCCGAGAAATTCGCGCGGAACTCCGAGAGTTTGCGTACGCCGGTTTTGGGGGAAGGCCCGAGCGTACCCCCAGGACGACGTACCGCAAGTGACGTGTCGCCCCAGCCACCAGGGGGCCCCGAGGCGCCCTCGACAGGGGTACGCCCATTCTGGAGGACGTTTGGCCTCCAATGGAGCGTTTGCTCTCTCGATATCGAAGGGTGGGAGGCCCCCTGGGATCGCCCGCGGGGGATGCCCTGCGCATGCCAATGTTTGTCGGAACATCGAAACCAGCCTCGTACTGGTTGTGTTCGACGTGGCGTCCCAGGACGGCCAGATCGACCACACTCACAACCAGAGTGCTCATGGCGAGGTCGACAGATTCTCCCCCAGGGGCCCTCCAGAAACACCCCCTTGGCTAGTTGTTGTGGCTCCCTGCTGGGCCTGGAGAGAGAGAGTGAAGGGGCCCAGGGACACACACACAAATAAATACGCACACAAATACCAGGATCCCACAGATTTTCCATATCTTCTGGGCTTCTGCTTCCCCCCCACGTCCCACATGTTCATGTTCGCACATCTCCCTGGGAACCGACGATGAGTTGTGTGCAATGTGTGCTTGTCTCCCTCCTGCGCGAGGGAGGCTTCCTGGAACGCCCGCGGGCAGCCGCTCGGCCCGGCGGCCCCGGCGGCGCGGCCCGCCGCCTCACGCCGCGAGCTACAGGGCCTCGAGGGCGGCCTCCACGCTCTGGCGGAGCTCCTCTGCGCCGGCGGGGCTGCGGCGGCAGGCCCACGGGCGCCCACCCACTCCATCGTGCAGGGGGCGCAGGAGGGGGGGCCCAAAGACCAGACACCACCCCCACGTCGATTCCTCCTCTCTCCTCTGTCCAGCGAGAGGGAGGGGGGGAGGGAGGCGGTGGTGGTGTATATGATCCAGGGTCGAGGGTTCACGGCCCCCCCCCCAGATGGTATGGTCCCAGGATTCCTCGGGCCCCCCCCCCCAGACGACGACGACGGCGACGACGACGATGACGACGACGACGGCGACGACGACGACGACGGCGACGACTACGACGACGGCGACGACGACGACGACGACCACGACGACGACGACGACGGCTGCGGCGGCGACGACGCCGGCGGCTGCGGCGGCGACGACGACGATGACAACGATGACGACGGCGACGACGACGATGACGACGACGACGACGACGATGACGACGACGACGACGACGAGGACGACGAGGACGACGAGGACGACGAGGACGACGAGGACGACGAGGACGACGACGACGACGACGACGACGACGACGACGACCTCTGAACCACCACAGCACCACACCACATCCACAGGGGGGGGGAGGGGGGCACCGCAGCGCAGCACCACGCCACGCCCACTTCTGAACCACCACAGCACCACACCACATCCACAGGGGGAGGGGGGGGCACCGCAGCGCAGCACCACGCCACGCCCACAGGGGGGGGCGGGGGGGACCATCGCGCGGGGGGGGGGGGCCCAATGGCATCAGCATTGGGGGGGGGTCCAAGCCCTGGACCATATGTATATATATATATTGCTTGGCCCCCCACAGGAGGACATGCTGCCACTGTGCGTCCTCCCTGGCGGCGCGCGTCCAACCCGAGCATCCGATGCAGCCGTCTTGCAGCAGATCGCTGCCCGAGCGGGGCGGCCGTGAGGCGCCCGCCACCGAGCGCAGGAACTGGAAGAGTTCTCGGCGCGCGCGCGTCGCCCCTCAGCTGCAGACGCACGACGCCTAGTATTGCTATGTTGGGGTTGTGCCGATGCCACTCCATCTTGTTGGCTCTTGCGACTGCAGCTCGGCGCTAATCTCGGCGGCGAGCCCGGGTGGGAAGTTAAAACTGGGCGGGCCTTCCAAGAGAGCTCGGAAGGCCTCGGGCAATGTGAATAATTTTCTCCGCATTCTCCAAAGACGCAGGAAACGTCTAAAGGTTGGAAAGCTTCTGAGAAGCCCAGCCGCCTTCTAAAAAACCTGCTCCTTCTCATTTCCCCGCCCGGGCGCGTCGCCGATACCATACCATCTGATTACCTGATTGGATCTTGCAAGTCGACACTGACCGACGCTAATCGACGCTAAGTCGATGATACAACGATACTGATCGACGCTAACGTGCGCTAATCGCAGCTACATCGGAGCATTCTCATCGATTGCCAGACACTGGCGCACACTGATGCACTCTGGAGACGGAATTGCGAAGACATATGAGGCTCCCGTGTTCTGCTACCGAACGGAAGGCTGGCGGCGCCCTTGGCGCCGACAGCGGCGCCGGGCGACGGCGACAATGGCAGGATCAGAAAGCATCGAATCGGGAAATCGGATCCGAACGACAAATTTGTCACTCGAGGCGATACCGTAACGGGCGTTTCTGGGGGGGGGACGGGGGCGGCGAGGGGGCGAGGGAGCAGAACCTGACGCCCCCGCCCCCCACCGTGACAGCCTGTGGTGCCGGACGCACTGCGAGAGTGGCGAGTACTCACTGGGGTTCCAGCGTTGCTTGATGGAAGGGGGCCGAGGGAGGGAGGGATCATAACGACCAGTACGGCCCAGAGCACTCCCAGAGGGGGGCCGCCACGGAGGTACCTCACGGGCCTGTTCGCGCTCAGATTGTGAAAATGTCTCAGGCGGTTTGCTCGTTGGCTTGCCTGGTGGTCCAGTGCTCCTCGCGATATAGCAGGCGTGGCACTCGGGCACTCCGAGCACGGGCCGCCAAGGGTCAGGACACTCCACGAATTCGCGCCCAGATTGTGTGGATGTCTCATGCGGTTTGCCTGTGGTCCGATGATCACCGCGATGTAGCAGGCGTGGCCTTTGAACACCCCATGGGGGAGCCGCCAGGAGTGGGGCCACTTCATCTTTCGCGCCCAGATTGTGAATATGTCGGGAGCGGTGTGCAGGATAGATGGCTTGCACATGTGCGCTTTCAGAGCAGAGTGTGAGGATGTCTCGAGCGAGGCGCTGCTTCCATAGCAAAGCGTGAGGATGTGCGAGGCGCTGGCAGCTGGAGGAGGAGGAAGAAGACGGAAGAGGACAGGCGATCACGACAGAACAGGGAGAGAGGGGAACAAGGATGTGCGATCAGGCAGATTGAAAAGAGACCTCGAGCGAGGCGCTTGTTTCAGCACTCCACGGGGGAGCCGCCAGAGAGGTTATACTTAGATGCCTCCACTTAACCTCCACCTCACCTCCTCCTCCTCCCCCTCCTCTTCCTCATTCGCTCACACACACACAGACGAACTCACACTCAGACTCACCCACATTCAGATTCACTCATACTCAGACTCGCTCATATTCAGATTCACACTCATGCTCATTAATGCTCAGACTTCTCACGCTCAGACCCATCATGCCGATGCGTGCTCCAACTCAGAGCTCACCCACACTCAGACTTACTCAGACTCAAACCCGCTCACACTCAGACACACAAACACGGAGACTTACGCATACGCAGACTTCACTCACACTCGGACCCACTCAAACTCGGGCTCACTCGCCTTCAGACGCTCAAACTCGGACTCATTCGCACGCAGCCTTGCGACTGACCCGCATTTTGAACTGCGGACTGCGGAATGTCTCGAGCGAGCGACTCGCTCTCACACAGACGCTCACTGACATGTTCCCACACAAAGACGTGCCAGGACAATGATATGCACATCATGTGACCGATTCTCGAAACCCTGAACCCGAACATTGTATCATCTCTTGGGGCGCATCTTTTGCTTCCGCCACCTTCCGCCAGCCTTCCGCCAGCGGAAGCGGCGTCGATTTACTTCCGGCGACCTTCCGCCGCCTTCCGCCGAGGAAGAGATGGCAGCTCCTCCGATCCTCGAAGACAAAAGGCCCTTTCTGGAACGACCCATATGCACGACGATGACCGACGACATCGACGGCGACGCGAACGACAACGGCGACGGCGGACGACGACCACGCCACGCGACAGGCCCACCACGCTACGCGAAGTATCGTCATATTCCTCCGTCTCTTCCGTTATCATCAATATCAACATCCGCACCACCATCATCATCATCATCATCATCATCATCATCATCATCATCATCATCATCATCATCATCATCATCATCATCATCATCATCATCATCATCATCAGTATCAGCATCACCATCATCAGCATCACCATCATCAGCATCATCATCATCAGCATCGCCATCAGCATCGCTATCAGCATCGCCATCATCCTATGGGGATCTCCGCGTCGAGCATGTTTCCCCACGACGCGCGATGGGGGGGCCCTGGGCCCCATGGCCTCCGGGCGCGCCCCCCGAGGCGCGCTCCGCAGGCGCGCTCCTCGCTGGCCGCGCGGGCCTCCTCCGGCTGCGCCCAGCCCACCAGCTCCAGGTCTCCGAGCGCCTCCTCTAGGCACCTGCGCGCCTCGGGCGCCTGCCGCCGGGGGGCCACGGCTCGGGCGGGAGCGACGGCGACGAGGGCGAGGCCAAAGACCACGACGGCGACAACAACGACGACGCCTACGCCGACGACGACGACGACCACGACGACCACGACGCCGACGCCGACGCCGACGCCGACGCCGACGCCGACGCCGACGACTCCGCCGACAGCGTCGCCGACGACGGCGCCTACGCCGACGACGACGACGCCTACGCCGACGACGACGATGCCTACGCCGACGCCGACGCCGACGCCGACGCCGACGCCGACGCCGACGCCGACGCCGACGCCGACGCCGACGCCGACGCCGACGCCGACGCCGACGCCGACGCCGACGCCGACGCCGACGCCGACGCCGACGCCGACGCCGACGACGACGCCGACGCCGACGACGACGACGACGACGACGACGACGACGACGACGACGACGACGACGACGACGACGACGACGGCGGCGGCGGCGGCGGAGGCGAGGTCGGCAACATCGTGACAAAATCGCGTCTGGAAGTTTTGGCATATTCTGGGCCACTGGAGGGCCCTCGCCTGGCCCTGGGGCCCTCAAAACGCGTCGCCGGACGACAGGATGATCCCAAGGGAGGGGTCGAGACCTTCGGAGGTGCCCCAGAGCTCTCTCTGGGCATGATCTCGATCGCTTCGCAGGTTGCTGGGCGTCGCTCGCTTGCACCGCGCCGATCGCCGCGGCAACGTTACGCACAGGCTGAGTTGTGGCAGGAGCTCAGCACCCGCTCGCTTTCTGCGGGAGTGCCAGCCTGGATCGACGACCCGTCGCATAAACGGATCGTCGAGTAGCTCGTCTGCTTGAGTCATCGAGGAGCCCCTCACACTGGGAGCGCTGAGCGACGACGACGCCGAGGCCGTCGGCATCACTTCGAACATTTGTGTGCGCTCCTGGATGCTCTCGCCGTCACGGCCAGGATGGCTCGAAAAACTTGCCAAGATGGACTCCAGCAAGAATCCGGGGATCCGCTTCGATGAGATCCTGGCCAGACGGACGCAGATGCGAACCCTGACCTGCCAAGAGTGCTTCCAGTGCCTCACCCGAGGTCGGTCAGGGTCCGAGGCCGTTCGGCCGCCGAAGGGAGGTGGAGATTGCGCTCACTTGGAGGCCAAGCGGGCTCACTTCCCATGCACCCCGTGGGGATTACTCGGAGGGCCGAACGCCGAATGGGCTCAGGACCCCATGGGACACGGGACCAGGAGCAAGACCCAGGAGCAGGAGCAGATGCACACGCAATTCTTCCAGAACGCCCGTGGAGGAAGATCCCTCCAGACCTGCAGACGTCCGCCAGAAAGACGGCAAGAACCACAGCCACGATCCTGCGCTCATCACGTCGAAGAAATCAGAACCACAATCACTGGGCCCAAGATCTGTCAGAGCTCCTTTCGCAAAGACAGCCCCCACTCCTGGCAACATGGACCTGGCCCGCCACCGTGACGTAGGCGAAGATAGGACCGTCTTCGAATCCCACGAACCATTGGCATCTCTTTGGGAACACATACTCAAGCTCGACCGGCTTCTGCCAGCGTTCCGCCGGCTCCCGCTGGGGGAGCCGCCCCCGCTTCACTTCTGCCGAGGACGACACATCAACTCCCTCGATCCTCGAAAGAGAAACCTTTTTCTAGAGCGATCCAACTGTGTTCACTTACAAGGGAAGTGCCCCCCAGTCCAGGATTACGGTGGAAACATGGCCTATCACGAGCGCTCCTGGGGTTCGCCGCGCGACTCTTCGGCGACTTGTCGCCCACGAGTCAACTAACGAGCAATGGAAACATCTAGGGAAAGGACAACGGCGACATCAACACAATTATCAACATCATCACCACAGCATCACCATCATCAGAAACACCATCCTCGTCGTCGTCACCACCATCATCAACAGCAGTAGCGACATCATCAGTCTCATCATGATCATCCTCCTCCTCCAACTCATCCTCCTCCTCAGCCTCCTCCTCATCCTCCTCGTCATCACCACCACCATCACCATGACCATCACCATCAGCAGCATCATCCTCGTATCAATCCTCATCTGCATCCTCAGCATCGGCATCAACATCTGCATAACCATTGTCATCGTCATTGTCTACTACACCACATCACCACCACCATCCTCCTCTTCCTCGTCATCATCATCATCAGCTGCAGCATGAGCATCGTCATGTTCATCATCAGCATCATCAGCATCATTATCAACGTCTGTTTCCTTATCAGCATCATCATCATCATCGTAATAATCAGCGTCAGCATGATCCTCATCATGGACCTCATCAGCATCATCATGCTCATCATCATCAGAAGCATCATCATCATCATCATCATCATCATCATCAGCATCATCATCATTATCATCACCATCATAATTCCAATCATCATCATCATCACCAGCATAATCATCAGCATCATCATCATCGTCATCATCAGCCTCATCCTCATCCTCATCCTCATCCTCACCATCAGCATCATCACCATCATCACCGTCATCACCAGCATCATCACCCTCAGAATCATCAGCATCGTCAGCATCATCATCATCATCATCACAATCATCATAATCATGATCATGATCATGTTCATCATCATATCATCATCATCATAATCCTCATTATCATCAGTATCATCATCATCATCATCATCAGCATCTGCATCAGCATCACCATCATCATCAGCATCA